CCAGCTCCAGGTGGAGTTCATGACCCAGAGAGAGAACTTCCTTGATGTCTTTCGGCCAGTTGGATGATACCTTTTCCATGGACCAATCAGCATGTATTTCCTCCCTACTGAGTACATAAAAACCACAGACTCAGCCAGACTCAGAGACTCATCAGGATTACCTGCTTGTGAATAGGGGCTACCCAGTTTGGGTCTCCTCTCTGCTGAGCTGTTCAGTATCCCAGTAAAGCTCTTCTCTGCCTTGATTACCCTCCAGTTGCCCATGCAACCTCATTCTTCCTGGATGTGTGACAAGAACACAGGACCCACCAAATGGCAGGAGAGAAAGGAGCTGTAACACTTCCCTGGCTGGCTCCCTGAGCTATGGTGGGAGCTAAAGGGGCTGCAACACTGTAGCCCTCCCATCCTCCACTGGTACCAGGCAGCCGCCCTATGTGACAGGAAGCAGCAGTGGGGCCAGGCTAGCCCAGAGCTGTGGGCCAGAGTGTGGTGGCAGGACTGAAAGAGCTGTAACACAAATAGCTGAAACATGACCTCCAAAACACACACCCCACCCCCACTCACCATGCTGTGGGCAACAAGGCGAGAAGAGCTGTGGCCCTTCTGGGAGTCCAGACCTCAGGGCTCCCTGAGCCAGGGCTGTGACATACTGTAACACCCCCTTTGGGGCCTTGTGTTTCCTGATGTCTCTGAGCTTTTGGATGCCACCAGACTCCCCTCTTCTAGATGCTGGTACCCACAGTGGAAGCCACTTGTGGTATGTCTGGTCCAGTTGCGGCCTCGCATGGAGCTGGTGCCTGTCCCAGTGCTTGGAGCTGCCCACCCTGTCACAGCAGCCAGTGTGCCTGGCTGTACAAAGAGGCCAGACCCCATGCTCACTCACTCACACACCCCTTGCTGCTCCACACCTGGCTCACCCTTGGCAGGTGTGGGATCCAGGCCAGTAGCATGAGCCAAGTGCAGCCTGCCAGGCTGAGTGAGCAGAACGAGCCCAGCAGGTGCAAGCAAAACTCAAGCAGAGGTGCTGCTGATCACAGAGGTTTCCGGCTGTCAAAGCAACACCATAAGGATCCTGCAACAATGTCAACAGAAAAGCACCAGACCAGTGGTTCTCAAGCTGGGGTATGTATCAGGTTCACCAGGGAATCTGGTAAAATACAGAAGTACAAATGCTAGTCTACTTCGATGAGCCTGGGTCCCAGTATTTGTCATTAGTTTCCAGGTGATTCTAAACACACGTTTTAGAACTTCCCCATTAGAGCAATGTTTAATAAACCTCTTCTCTTTCATGGGTAATCAGATAATGAATAAGAATCTCTAGAACTGGGAGGAATCCTCTTAGCAATCAGACTTGGCCACAAAGGCCCAAATTGTGCTCAGTTTCTTATATATCTTTGTCATTTCCATCACCTTTATTGTCAAACTTTTTTTGTATTTATTTTTTAGACAAAATGTTGATTTTGGAATAATTGTAAATTAAAAAAAATTTTAGTAGAGAGAGAGAGATCTTGCTAGTTTGCCCCGGATGGTCTCGAACTCCTTAACATTAGCTTTAGGGAAATAAAAATTAAAACCACAATGAGATACCACTACTCATCTGTTAGAGCAGCTAAAATAAAAAGAGCTGGCCAGGTGCAGTGGCTCATGCCTGTAATCCTAGCACTTGGGGAGGCTGAGGTGGGAGGACAGCTTGAGCCCAGGAGTTTGAAGCTGCAGTGATCCATGTTCACACCACCGCACTGCAGCCTGGATGACAGAAGGAGACGCTGTCTCAAAAAATAAAATAAATTTTAAAAAGCTGACAATACTAAGCACTAGCAAGGATGCAGAGCACCTAGAATGTGTGAACATTGCTGGTGAAAATGGTACAGCCACATTGGAGAACAGTTTGGCAGTTTCTTATGAAGTTAAACACTTAATATATGATCCAGTGATCTCACTCCTAGATATTTAGAGAAGATAAATTTCTATCCAAAATGTTCATACAAAAACCTGTATTTAACTGTTTATAAGCAGCTTTGTTGTATGTTTAGTATTAATCTGTCTGGAAGTAAACTAAGCTCCACAATGAGCTCTTCCCACTGGGTGCATACCCTAGGGAAAAGAAGCTCTTCCCTACAGAGTCTTTTCATGCCATCATTGCAGGGTGAAGGGATCACTTGACTATCCATGGTACAAATGTTCACAGTGTAGCCACATAGCACCTAGAGGAAAATGAGGGTCATGTTGGGGATAGAGTGAATGAGAAAGGGAGAAAAAGAATGAATTAAGGAAGGGAAAATTATTTAGCTAGTTGTAAAGAATGGAATTGACCCCATGGTCTCAGGTTCTACCTCCTAGAGGCTGATCAGGACACTGTAGGGCACACTGGTGCCATTTCAGTGGAACTGTGCATAGGACTTCTCTTTGAGCATTTAAGGTAACGTCTACAGGAATGTTGTCAGGCTGGACATCAACCTCTTAGGGGGAGGGTGACCTTAGTGCATTCCTTTCAGCTATGGCATGAAGTTACCAAAGTGAATAGATGGAAAGAAATATTTTTCCCTACAAATCATCCTGGAACAATTGGATAGCCAAATGCAAAATATAAACCTCAGCTCTTCCCACACCACATAAAAATTAACTTGAAATGGATCCTAGACCATTTTTTTTTACCCAAATGTAAAAACAAAAGCTATAAAACTGCAAGAAGAAAAACTAGAAGGGCATCTTAGCAATTTGGATTTGGAAAAGATTTATAAAAAGGTCTCAAAAAACACAGTAAGTTGACTTACCAAAATTTAATGCTTTTTCTCTTCAGAAGACAATTGTTAAAAATGGAAAGTCACAGAATGGGAGAAAATATTCTTAATACATATATGAAACCTACAGATGACAAAACGATAAATGACTTGAAGGAGAAAGACTAGGAAGGCAAATTTATAAGGAAAAGGTACCATCTCAAGAGGCAGTAAGGCAAAGAATTCAAACAAGTAATTATAGAAGATGAAATCAGATAGTCAATAGAAATATGAAAAAAGGCAAGTATCTCCAGAAAAAAAATTTAAAGTCAATTAAAATAGGTTCTACCAGCCAGGCGCAGTGGCTCACGCCTATAAACCCAGCACTTTGGGAGGCCAAGGCAGGCAGATCACCTGAGGTTGGGAGTTCGAGACCAGCCTGACCAACACGGAGAAACCCTGTCTCTACTAAAAATACAAAATTAGCCAGGCATGGTGGCACATGTCTGAAATCCCAGCTACTCAGGAGGCTGAGGCAGGAGAATTGCTTGAACCCAAGAGATGGAGGTCATGGTAACCTGAGATCACACCATTGCACTCCAGCCTGGGTAACAAGAGTGAAACGATGCCTCAAAAAAAAAAAAAAAAAAAAGGTTCTACCTATATTGAAAACTATAAAATATTACTGAAAGAAATTAAAGGAGACCTAATTAAATGAAAAAAAAAATCCCATGTTTCTAGATTGGAAGACAATATTGTTAAGGTAGCAACACTACTCAAAGTAATCTAAAGATTTGCTGCAATATCTATCAAAATTCCAACAGCCTTTTATTGCAGAAATGGAAAAGCTGATATTCAATTTATATGCAATTGCAAGAGACCCCCTCCCACCTCCCACAATTACCAAATAATTCTCAAGAAAAAAAGTTGGGAGTGGTGGTTTATGCCTGTAATCCCAGTACTTTGAGTCTGAGGTAGAGGATTGCGTGAGCCTGGGAGTTCAAGACCAGCCTGGGCAATGTAGTGAGACCTCATCTCCACACATACACACACACACACACACACACACTCGCACACACACAAATCAAAAAATTAGCCAGGCATGGTGGCACATGCCTGTAGTTTCAGCTATTCAGGAGGCTGAGGCTTGAGCCCAGGAGGTCAAAGCTTCAGTAAGCCATGATTACATCATTACACTCCAGTCTGGGTGACAAAGTGAGACCCTGTCTCAAAAAGAGAGAGAGAGAGAGAGAACAAAATCAGAGGACTCATACTTCTTGATTTCAAAACTTACTACAAAAATATATTAATCAAAACATGATACTAACATAATAATAGAAATATAAATTAGAATTGGGACTCCAGAAAGAAATGCACACATCCATGGCCAATTGATTTTTGACAAGGATGCCAAGTTTATTCAATGGCAAAGGAATAATCTCTTCAACAAATTGTGCTGGGACAACTGGAGAACCACATGCAAAAGAATGAAGTTGGATTCCTACCACACTCTACATATGAAAAGTAACTCAAAATAGATTAATAACCTAAGTATAAGAGTTAAAACCATAAAGCTCTTAGAAAAAAACATATTGGGAAACCTTCATGACTTTGGATTTGGAAATAGATTCTTAGGTATGATACCAAAAGCACAGGCAACAACAACAAAAATAGATAAATTGCACTTTGTCAAAATGAAAAACTTTTGCACATCAAAGGACATTATGAAAAAAGTGAAAAGACAACATGTATAATAGGAGAAAATGGGTTGGGCTCAGTGGCTTATGCCTGTAATCCCAGCACGTCGTTGGGTGGCTGAGGTAGGAGGATCACTTGAGGCCAAGAGCTCAAGACCAGCCTGGGCAACATAGCCAGATCCCATCTCCACAAAAGATTTAAAAATTAGCCAATCATGGTGATGTGCACCTGTAGTCCTAGCTACTTAGAAGGCTGAGGCAGAAGGATCCCTTGAGCCCAAGAGTTAAAGTGATCCCAAGGTTATTGTGAGCTATGATTGTACCACTGCCCTCTAGGTTGGGTGACAGAGCAAGACTCTGTCTTTAAAGAAAAAAAAAAGAGTAAGAGAAAACAAAATAATGTATCTGAAAAAAAAGTTTAACATTCAGAATACATAAAGAACTCCTACAGCCGGCCCTGCTCGCGCGTCCGTTGTGCGGCCTCCGGTCACGTGACAGCAGCGCAGGCGAGCGCCGCTTCCGGGGTCGGGCGCCTGGATCGCGGCCGGCTCGGGTTTCCACTCGGTCGGTTGCGCGGGAGACTATGGCGTCCTCTGTCCCACCGGGCACCGTACGGGCGGCGACAGCAGGCCCCCGTACAGGTTTCGGCTTCGCCTCCAAAACCAAGAAGAAGCATTTCGTGCAGCAGAAGGTGAAGGTGTTCCGGGTGGCAGACCCACTGGTGGGTGTGTTCCTGTGGGGCGTAGCCCACTAGATCAATGAGCTCAGCCAGGTGCCTCCCCCGGTGATGCTGCTGCCAGATGACTTTAAAGGCCGCTCCAAGATCAAGGTCAACAATCACCTTTTCCACAGGGAAAATCTACCCAGTCATTTCAAGTTCAAGGAGTATTGTCCCCATGTCTTCAGGAACCTCCGTCATCGATTTGGCATTGATGACCAAGATTACTTGGTGTCCCTTACCTGAAACCCCTCAGCAAAAGTGAAGGCAGTGATGGTCGCTTCCTTATCTCCTACGATCGGACTCTGGTCATCAAAGAAGTATCCAGTGAAGACATTGCTGACATGCATAGCAACCTCTCCAACTATCATCAGTACATTGTGAAGTGCCATGGCAACACGCTTCTGCCCCAGTTCCTGGGGATGTACCGAGTCAGTGTGGACAATGCAGACAGCTACATGCTTGTGATGCGCAGTATGTTTAGCCACTGTCTTCCTGTTCACAGGAAGTATGACCTCAAGGGTTCCCTAGTGTCCCGGGAAGCCAGCGACAAAGAAAAGATTAAAGAATTGTCCACGCTTAAGGATATAGACTTTCTCAGCAAGAACCAGAAAGTATATATTGGTGAAAAGGAGAAGAAAATATTTCTGGAGAAGCTAAAGAGAGATGTGGAGTTTCTAGTGCAGCTGAAGATCATGGACTATAGCCTTCTGCTGGGCATCCACGACATCATTCGGGGCTCTGAACCAGAGGAGGAGGGGCCCGCGCGGGAGAATGAGTCAGAGGTGGATGGGGACTGCAGTCTCACTGGACCTCCTGCTCTGGTGGGCTCCTACGGCACCTCCCCAGAGGGTGTCGGAGGCTACATCCATTCCCATCGGCCCCTTGGCCCAGGAGACTTTGAGTCTTTCATTGATGTCTACGCCATCCGGAGTGCTGAAGGAGCCCCCCAGAAGGAGGTCTATTTCATGGGCCTCATTGACATCCTTACACAGTATGATGCCAAGAAGAAAGCAGCTCATGCAGCTAAAACTGTCAAGCATGGGGCTGGGGCAGAGATCTCTACTGTCCATCTGGAGCAGTATGCTAAGCGATTTCTGGATTTTATTACCAACATCTTTGCCTAAGAGACTGCCCGACTCTCCCTGATGTTCAAGGTGGTAGGATTCTGAGAGGCTGGGGGGAATTGTGGATATTCTAGCCACCACATCTCTTCTTCTTTTGCTAAATTCAGGCTGCAGGCTCCTTCCATCCAGATAACTCCATCCTGTTTAGTAGGCTTCTGACCCTCAGAAATACGTTGTCCTTTCTCCCCTTTGCCCATTTTTCTCCCCTCTCTCCCTCCCCCCAAGAAGTCTGCTTGTATTATTAGAATGTTATTGTTGATTCTCTCCCAAGTGCCTTGATCTTTGTAAAATCTCCTGTTGTTTCTATGATATAGGAGCTGGGGGAAGGGGGTTGTTTACCATCTTCAGGACCTGACTGGACAGATGGACCTGGCTCAAGCAACTACTCTGAATGCACTTTGCTGTGTGGGATGAACTAAAAGCATCTGAATTTTGCTGATAACTTTATAGAACTCACTATGGCATGCTTCCCTCCTGGTGAGCCCTAGGATGGAGGACAGTCAAGATACTACAGATGTGGGTACAGGCATGCACACACACGATGGAATATGGCCAGCCCTACACAGGTGGGGTGGAGAGTGGGTCAGCAGCCTGGCACATCACAGAGGGGCCTACGAGGATTCTTGTGATTATGCAGAGAATTGGATTGGGCCTCTGTCGGAGAAGGAGTAATCTCTCCCCTCGCCTTAGTTCCATCCCCACCCATCTCTACTTCTGGACACAGGAGCCCAGAGATGGCCAAAAGCATTCAAGCCTGGGGGAAGGTATTTGACTATTGCTGCTCTTCACTAGAACCTTGCACCTCTCCTGGGACTAGAACCCTTCAGTGGGTGTGTGGCCAGTTCTGGAGGCTGGGATTCTGGGCAAGGGTGTAAGGTTCATTCTCCACGTTAAGTTTCCTTTCAGCCAGGTGCAGTGGCTCACTCCTGTAATCCCAGCACTTTGGGAGGCCAAGGCAGGCGGATCACTTGGGGTCGGGAGTTCGAGACCAGCCTGATCAACATGGAGAAACCCCATCTCTACTAAAAATACAAAATTAGCCAGGCATGGTGGCACATGCCTGTAGTCCCAGCTACTTGGGAGGCTGAGGCAGAAGAATCGCTTGAACCCAGGAGGCAGAGGTTGCGGTGAGCCAAGATGGTGCCATTGCACTCCAGTCTGGGTAACAAGAGTGAAATTTCATCTCAAAAAAAAAAAAAGTTTCCTTTCATCCTGCCTAGCCATCCCCAAGGTATATTTTCAGAAGAAGGGAATATCTCTACTTGGATCAATTCTGGTCATTTCAAGAGGATGGAGGCCTCAGTGTGGGAACCTCCCCTACTCCCTGGATGTGTGTGCCTAGCACACTTCCTTCTCCCACCCCTTCTTAAACCCTTTTTCCAGTTGGATTTGTTGTTCTGTTCTCTTCTGTCCTGTCTTATACTGCTACTGTGTCTCTTAGGGGACAGATGGCCTTCTTTGTCATCTATTCTCTCCACCCCCAGAGAGGAGTCAGAGCCATAACTCAATCACTCAGCCCCTCCAAAGATAGTTGAGTTGATGATGTGTGATATTCTCATAATGTTAAGAACCCTGATGAGATGAGATACATTGTCTTCCCCACCCTGCAATGCCTCTGGAGCCAAGGCACCCATTCATCTTGCTATCCTCCATCCCCCTGAAGCTTCTACTTTTTTTTTTTTTTTAAACCTTAAGATGGGCACCAGCAACTGGCCTGTGGTGATGCAAAGCTGCTTTGCTCTGTATCTGGCTGGACTGATCTGTCTCCCAAGAAGCCATGAGGCAATAGGGAGAAGCTCTTTCTCCTCTTCATCTTCTGCTCCAAAGGAGGTAGCAACAGGAGTACCCAGTTAGGGGTGGGAGCCCCTATAACATCTTCCTGTCAGGAGACTGATGGATCTTTTTCATTCCAACTATCTCCCTTTCCCCAGTGAATGCAATAAAACTTTGTGACACCAGCAACTGTTGTTCTTTAGAAATGGGTTTTCTGATCACATGGCTGATGTATTATGGGCAGTATGGATGTCTTCATTTGTTGCTTCTGTTTCTCATCTTTTTTGTTTTATTAATAAAAAATTGTGTATTTGCTCCCATTGCTATCATAATACAGGGAATAAATTATTCAATCAAAAAAAAAAAAAAAAAAAAAAATAAAAAAAAAAAAAAAAAAAAAAAAAAAAAAGAACTCCTACAACTCAATTGCCAAAAGACAAAACCCAATAAAAAATAAACAAAGAATTTAAACAGACAGTTCTCCAAAGAAGGTATATGAATGGCCAAAATGCACATGAAAAGTTGTTCAGCATTATTAGTCATTAGGGAAATGCTAATCAAACCCCAGTAAGATACCACTTCACGCTGAATTAGGGTGGGTATTATTTAAAATAGCCCAAAACCAAAAGCCAAAGGAAAAGAAAAAAGAAAGAAAGAAAGAAAGAAAGAAAGAAAGAAAGAAAGAAAGAAAGAGAGAAAGAGAAAGAGAAAGAAAGAGAAAGAAAGAGAAAGAAAGAAAGAAAGAAAGAAAGAAAGAAAGAAAGAAAGAAAGAAAGAAAGAAAGAAAAAATGGCAAGTATTCATGCAGATATGGAGAAACTGGAACTCTCATGAATTGCTGATGGGGATGTAAAATGGTATAGCCATTGTGGAACACAGTTTGGTGGTTCATCAAAAAGTTAAACTAGAATTACCACATAATCCAGTGGCTGGGTGTGGTGGCTAGCGCCTGTAATCCAGGCAATTTGGGAGGTCAAGGCAGGCAGATCACCTGAGGTCAGGAGTTCAAGACTAGCCTGGCCAACATGGCAAAACCCCATCTCTACTAAAAATACAAAAACCAGCCAGGAGGTGGTTGCAGTGAGCTGAGATTGTGCCTCTGCACTCCAGCCTGGGCAGCAAAGTGAGACTCTGTCTAAAAAAAAAAAAAAAAAAAAATTACCATGTAACCCCAAACCTTCACTCCTGAGAATATATCCAAAGGATTTGAAAACAGGGACTCAAACAGATACTTATATGTGAATGTTTATACCAGCATTATTCACAATAGCCAAAAGGTGGAAACAACCAAATTGACCATAACAGATGAATGGATAGATATGGATGAGCTTTGAAAACATTATGCTAAGTGAAATAAACCAGACACACAAAAACAAATATTGTGTGATTTCACTCATGAACAACCTAGACTAAACAGATTCATAGAGACACAGTAAATGAGAGGTTTGGGAGAGGGGAGAATGGAGCATTATTGCTTAATGAGTACAGAGTTCCTGTCAGGGAGATAAAACCTTTGGAAATAGTGTTCGGATTGCACAACATTGTGAATGTAATTAATCCCACAAAATTGTATGCTTAAAACCATTTCAGTGGTAAATTTACATATATAATAAAAATTATATATATATTTCATGTATATCACAATAAAATTTAAAAAATAGATACTACCATTTTTTTCTTACTATTTTAATGATAAACCCAGTGTTAGCAAAAATATGTGGACTACTGCTGGAGAAAGTTTAAACTGTTGCAAAATTTCTAGAGTTAGGTCTACCCCAATTTGCAGAGAAATAAACTAGACACACAATGGTACCAATAGGGATCAGTGAGGGATGCAATTGTCATTCATGGGTCATGTTTAAAAAAATTTTTTTTTTTGACACAGGGTCTCACTGTGTCACCCAGGCTGGAGTGCAGTGGCGAGATCACAGCTCAACCCTGGGCTCAGGTGATCTTTCTACCTCAGCCTCTCAGTTAGCTGGGACTACAGCCACGCACCACCATGCCCTACCAATATTTGTATTTTTTGTAGAGATGGGGTTTCACCCTGTTGGCTAGGCTGGTCTCGACTTCCGTCCTCAAGTGATCCACCTGCTTCAGCCTCCCAAAGTGCTGGGATTACAGGTGTCAGCCACTGTGCCTGGCTTCAAAAATCTTGTTCTATTAATAAATATAATAATAAATATAAACACAGTTTTTTTTTTTTTTTTACAGTTTATGTGACCATTTTCTTTACAGAGGTTTTTTTTTAAATACTTTTGAAAATGGTAAGTTCCAGGGTACATGTGCAGGATGCTGAGGGTAATGGCTTCCAGCTCTGTCCACATCCCTGCAAAGGACATGATCTTGCTCCTTTTTATGACAACATAGTAGCTCCACGGTGTATATGTACCACATTTTCTTTATCCAGTCTATCATTTTTGGGTATTTGGACTGATTCCATGTTTGTGATTGTGAATAGTGCTGCAATGAACATACACTCGTGCACATATCTTTATAATAGAATGATTCATATTCCTTTGGATATATACCTAGTAATGGGATTGCTGGGTCAAATAGTATTTCTGGTTCTAGGTCTTTGAGAAATTACCACACTATCTCCCACAATGGTTGAACTAATTTACATTCCCTTCAACCGTGTAAAAGCATTCCTATTTCCGTAGCCTCACAAGCATCTGTTGTTTCTTGACTTTTTAATAATCGCCATTCTGACTGGTGTGTTATGGTATCTCACTGTGGTTTTGATTTGCATTTCTCTAATGATCAGTGATGTTGAGCTTTTTTTCATATGTTCGTTGGCCACATAAATGTCTTCTTTTGAGAAGTGTCTGTTCATGTCCTTTGCCCACTTTGGCACCACTTGGCGCTCTAAAATTGATCACATAATTAGAAGTAAAACACTCCTCAGCAAATGCAAAAGAATTTAAATCATAACAGTCTCTCAGACTACAGTGCAATTAAATTAGAACTCAAGATTAAGAAACTCACTCAAAACCACACAACTACATGAAAATTGAATAACCAGCTCCAGCGTTTTTTTTTTTTTAAAGACAAAGATAATTGAATGGTAATGAATACTGATCTGTTTTTCTTAGACAATGATACCTAGTGGCGGTATAACTGTTTAACAAAGAGCCAATAATTTAATAGCAAGTTATCCAAATTTTAGGTCAAATATTTATGGAGGCAATGCCCTAACAATTCTTTTTTCTTTTTTTTTTTCCATCCTAAAGATTTCTCTGTACACTAGCAATTCTTAAGTGCTATTTTAACAAACCTTCTGGTCAGGTGACAGTAGTATTTCATTCCAAGAAAAAAGGTTTCTAGCAATAGTTGAGCTCAGACCTTCCATAAGGTTATCATTACCTTGCTTGAAATCTGAAATTGTTATTCAGAAAAAAATCATTTTTGTGGTCAAGGCTAGGAATGGGGCAGGATATAATAAGTGAGTTCTAGAGGTAATTTATGTAAGGTATATTGTTCAGAGTAATAG